GTGGCGGCAATTCTTTAAAATCAGCAGCTTATGAAATGTGTTCTTATGAAAATAGACAACTTTATTATTATATAAATAAAACATCTCTATCTTATACTAAAATGATTTTTCTTAAAATATTTTAATATTTTATTTTTTGTTTATATATTTTTGTTTATAATCTTTGTTTATAATTGATTGTTACACAAATTGGATGATCAATGATTTAATTGGCTAAATTGAAATGTGGTGTTGAACACCCAGTAGTGTGATTTATCAACGTCCTTAAAAAATTAGTTTTATAGCTTTGTTCTATTTACTTTATTATATTTTTATAAAAAAAATTTTGTAAAATTTTTTTAGTTATTTTGTTTATAAAATTTTAAAATTATTAATTTTATATATTTGTTTATAAAAAATTAATAAAAGAAGAATAATTTTTTAAATAAAAGTTTTTTTTAATTTTAAACTTAAATATTTTAATAATTATTTAAATTTAATAATATTTCATTTTATTTTTATTTAATTCTAAAATTAAAATAAAAAATAAATTTTGTTAAATAAATATTTTAATTTAAGAATTAAAAAATTTTACTAAATATTTTATTATTTTTATTATTTTTTTATTTAAGGTAGGTATGTCTAATTTGATGCAGTTAAGCATTACAACTTATAACATATGATAGATTGATTGGAATTGGATAATTTTGGTATTATTCAATTCATTTCAATGATAAATCAAATGGTACCAAAATTGTCCAATTTTGATTACTAGATCACAAGATCACAAGATATTGTTGATTAAAAATTTTGCTACAGTACCTAATTCGGCACACTAACATTGCATTAATGATATCTCACAAACTATTGATCAGAATTACATAATGTTGGTACTATTTGTCTCATCAAGATGAATCAAATGGTATCAGAATTATGCAATTCTAATTACTGGTTCATGAGATAACATCATTTAACCAAAATAAGCTATTTTACAAATTAATATAAAATAGTAGATAACTTTTGATATACTGGTCTGTTGTTAATGATTTTATCACCAAAATGATCAGCTTGAAAAAACAATTTAATGGGTCTAAAATCACTAAATCTGATCATGAGATCACAAGATCGTTAAGGTTTATATATCATTTTTGATAAAAATAGATTAATTAATTAATTTTAATCAAAATAAGATAAAAACCTTAATGATCTTGTAATCCTGTAATCAAATTTTAGTGATTTTAGGCTTATTGAAATTATCTCTTCAAGGCAGTCATTTTAAAAATAAATTAAATTCAACGAATAAACTTTAGACATGCAAAAATAATTATTATATATAAAAATTGGCTAATTTAAACTAGTTTAAACTTGTTCAAATTATATCGATATTGAAAATTTGAATTAATTTATTTGGTATACTAAATATTAAAAATCAAATTGAATAACGATAATGTTTATTTGATTGCACGTTATGTATAATAAACTTTTATGTTTGCAAATATACAAATATGTTGTTTATTTTAATAAAATTTCGAAATTGCCACCCATCGTGACAATATATTACATAAGTTTAAATGAATAAATTTTTGGTAAAATTTTTTCTTTCTAATTAATGTTTCATACAGCGCTTTATTACTGAGCTGATTGGCCAATATTCCAAAACTAGTGTCAATTCTCTTTAAAAATTCTCTTAATTTTGTAATTTCTTTTATGAAATTGATCACCAATTCTATGTTCCAGAGCATTGTCAATCTAACATTAACTGTTGGCCGAATTAGAATCAAGACATCAATTAGTGTTTGCCTTACCTTTATAGGACTATTTGTGAAATCATATCTATGTACAATTAGTCTCTCATTATATACTTGTAAAGTAATATATCTAATTCTTTCAAGTAATATTTGAATTGATTGTGTTATATATTGACTATCAAAATTATGATGAATATAAGCCCCTAATATTAACATTGACAATATAAGCTTTACTCGATCCCTTTCTTTTTTATCAGAAGATGACTTGGATTTATTAACTTCAAGTATATCTACTTTCATTCCAAATTGGTGAACTATATCCTTAC